AATTTATTAGCCGAATCGGTGACTGTATTTCATCCATCGTTTCATGTCTTGTGACAATCTATTAAAATTCTGCATAATCATACAAATATATCTCGTTGCATGAACACAAAAATGTTTTGTTATCGTACAGAAATCTAGAAGAACACTATCTAGAGAAGAATTGTCTAGACCGATTTGTTAACTTGTTGATTTTTTTTTTAGCTTACAAATCCTTGTGAAAGATTCTTTTGCATATAGTTGACCTGTCAGGTTATACTAAAAAGCTTTTCAATCATATGATAGCTATATGATGTTCTGAATCGATTCTCTAATCCTCAACAAAACATAAGAATTTTTTACTTTCGTGATTTTAGACGAGCATAAATAGTGTCGATGCTTAAAATTCAACAGCCAATGATGACTAGCAACGAAATTTTGAAGTGAAATATCAGCGGCCTTTTTTATCACCCAACGTCAAAGATCATTGTCATGAACTAGTAAACATTGTTCACGTGCATGTACAAAACGGTCATAAACATAGTCGTCCACTTAATTGCGCTTGTAGCGGCGTTGAACACCGTGAAAAGTCCGCTTACGGCATCCCGTTTGTTCATTTCGTTCATCATAGTAGTCGAGAACTTTTTGCATATATTCTTTAGAAAATTTGGTTAGGTCTGACTTTTTTTATCATCTCCCATATCGTAGTCCGAGTCGGTAGCAGATTCATCTAGTTGGTTTTCTTCAGATTCTTCATAATCCTCTTTATCCCTCAAATCAACAGCGAGAGATACTTCCGTCTCAACAGAAAAACCATTGCTTTTAACGATTGAATCCAATACGTCGATCAAATAGTCAGCCACTTCATGTTCTTTCGGCGTGAGAGCAGTTGAAGATTTTAGTGTGGCTGATGATGCACAAATTCAGTGGGACAAAATTGAGACAACGTTTCTTGAATCAATAGTACACATACTTGATAAAAGAGATCGTAGTGAATAACCAGACGATGTAAGAATGCACGTACTTCTTTCAATATGAGAAAATGGCACAAGTATAAAAGACTACTTTATTCTTTTCCCTTTTGTACTTTCGTTAGCTCGAATGAATATCAAAAAATAAAAGAAGAACAGAAAAGTGGAGAAAGACATACAGAGAGAAACCAGACACAAATGGACAAAGCGATATGAAGGCATGTAGCTGACATGCCTGTATCAATGTGCACGTACACACGTGAATGGAAAACAAAACAACGGTATAGAAAAAGAACAGAATTCTATTTTATTGCTCTTCCTACTTCTAGTTAGAAGTTCTTTGCAGACAGTACAAGAGAATAAAGTCAATACTGTCGCTTATTAAGTTAAGCGCATGTTCATATACGACTCGTCTAAAAAACTAAGGCTCATTTTGGAAGCTCTCTTTCATCCAAGCTAGTGTCAGGCAAGGAAATTTGATATGTGTAGTTAGGAGTCTTTGTCAGAATTAAAAAAGTATGTTACATATGGCCAGTGTGAAATGTAGTTCACGCAAAAAAAACCGTAAGTCTGTATTTCATATCGTTGTGAAAAAATCGACATTTCATCGTATTTCAATATAAATAATAGCACTGCTAGAGAGGATGTGAACTTTGTATCTCAACAAGGAAGCCATAGAAACCCAAACCCTTTTGGGGTTTTTCTAGTCTCACTAAGACCTACATATGGGCAAAATATCACGTCAAAAGCGAAGCTTCACTTGGGGACCTTCCCTCGTAAGAGAGGTATTCACTATACAGAGGTTTTGCATTAACTGATCTTTTATATATATAGTGCACGCATAGTATAACTGATTGATGACTACGTACATTTCGCGTTAGAATTCACCTCAATTCGCGCAAAAAAGTATTTCTTTTGTCTATTACCCTTATTTATTCAAGTTTTATGAAACAAAGTACAAAAAAAATTTTCTAGTACCTATTACACATATACCATTCAATTTTTATGAAAAAAATCATCGATCGTTGTCTGTTTGATTCCTTTCGAGTCAATGAAGAGTTGAGTGATTGTAAACAGAAAAGTGCGATATTCTTTCACGCGTGATTGATCAACCCGTCGTGAACTATTCATTTTCATTGTTCCTTTTGTTCCATACACGCAACGAATTTTCTTGTGATGAATAGACCGTCAATGAGTTGACCTACTACCACTTCAAAATGAATGCTGTGTTCTCTTTTTTTTCTCTTATTTCATATACACACGTATACTTTGTTGCATGTGTGTTTACTACACAGAGGTTTTTTGTTGAAGGAACCGAAAAATGGTGTCCATGTTCAGAGTTGGGAGGTGTTCACTATAGAGAGATCCGATTACAGCAAAAATCGGTCGGAGAGATCAAGAAAAGTGTTCAAACAGGAGGTATTTACTAATGGAGGTTTTACTGTATATTTTTTGTCAGTGAGAACGAGATTGAAAAGTGATTTATCACTTTTCAGGTGTTGATGGATCCGTTGATATTGAATTGGTTGACACTGAACCATTCTTATCGTTTTCAGATGAATTTATTTTACTAATTTTCGTCAAAATAAAAATTATTTGTTTATTCTCGAGATCACATCTCGAGAAGTTTTTAAAATAATATTTCAATTAATTGTGAATTCATGAATAAAAGAGGTTGCTTTTGATACATTTGGCGCATTTGCTCTTTTACAGGCTTTTTTCGTTTTTTTTCTTGACCTAGTTTTGGTAAGTTTTGTAACAAAAAGATTGATCGAACATATAAAAACCAACATTTTTAGAGGTAACTCGACCAGCTCTATCTATTCATACTAAAAATCGTAAAAAAAATTTGGTTTAATTTTGCATTTTCTGCATCTTATTTCATATAAAACACTGCGTGATGATGAATATTGTTAATGATAATTATTTGTATTTTTATAGATGTTGACCAAATTTAATCGTTCTTTTGTACCCAATGGTGTTCCATCATCATTGGTTGTATTTTGATTTTATTTTTACATTCATAATTCAAAAATGATGTAATCTATTTATTTGTTTCTTATTTTAGCGATTTCTACGATTTCAATAACAACTTCTATACCAGATGTGGATGTTCTCACATCGGAAGACTTTGTCGAAGCTGGTTAACAGCCAGTTGGTACTGGAACAGTTCTACTCATATGAATTATACTTGTAATAGATTCTATTGTAATGTATGCATTCTTTACGAAAATAAATAAAATGTTGAATCCTCATCGAATTATGGCTAATCAACGACGACATGCATTTGCTAAACGACTTCAACCAGATCAATAAAATAAGCATTTATTAATAACTTTACAAGATTTTTCTATATTCATTTATAATATTACTTTCTTTAAAATATGTTAAAATTAAAACAAATATTTTTGTTATCAATAGAAGCACGAGTGCTTACTTAATATTAAAAGATTTTCATATTAAATGTTAAGATATCGTACGAAATACTATAATTGATAAGAATGTCTGTGTTGAACTGCAGACATTATAGATGAGTTTATGTAATTTCGCCAATTGTGAATTTGACCAACAATATGTTCGCTATTCGCGTTAAGATTTTACCCTGTTCAATTCAATGACCCGCCTATTGACGAATGATGGCCGAATCAAAGGAAAGAGAACAGAACATTATTTTAGTTATATAAATTTTAATATGTATTGTGCGTTTCTCTTTTACGATTCCATCATTAATAGAATTTGAAATTTATTTTAATGTTATTATATACATCGATTGACGGCCATGTGCATCCTTCTTCGAAGGATACTCTATGCTAGGAGCAATTAATACTACTGTGTTAAAAGCTGTAACCCATGATGAAGGTCTATAAGTTTCATTGGTAAACTACATTTTGGGCTACTATCGTGTTCAAGTTATCATTACAGATAGAATCTGAGTCCAGCTAGCAAATGCGAGCTGTATAAATCTTCAAGTTTGATGTAGTCTTTTGAAGTTTTAATAGATTTCTTGACATCTTATAGAGTTTCTCGAGATCCTTATATGTAAAGGAATGACGTGTACTATTTCTTCTTGATTTGAGAGAAAAAGTGCATTACAATTAAAACAGTTTTCAAATATATTATCAAGATGCAGTGCATCACATTTTATTATGTATCTCTTTCAATTTAATTTTTTCTCACTTGAATCAAATAGAATAAATGTTTCTTCTTTAAAAGCCTATTCTTCACGTGTGTTCATTCATTTTTTCTTTTCTGTTGATTTCGACACGAGTTAAGGTAAACGAATGAAGAAACAAATGTAATATTATCTATTGAAAAAAAAAGATGGTCATATTAAGAGTTGGGAAATATATTCGTAAAAAAGATCGAGGAAAATTCCTTCAAGTATCATGAGATGGCGACCGCTCTGTTACTCGAAAAAGGCTTGAGGGCGGTGACCGCCTTCGCCACTGCAATAAGGTTTATGTCGTCTTCCGCACCGTTCCCGCCTTACTTTTTAGGCGCAGTGCACATCTATGATATCAATTGATCTTGTTTGTCAAGATTTAAATTAGGAATAGGTTTTGTGTAGAATTAATCATTTTCACTCAAAACCCTCTTTGTTTTATTCTTTTTAAACGCGAATAAATAATTATTTAGATTATTCTTTTGAACTAATTATTAAAGATTTAAAATATCTATCGTATTGAAAAAGAAAACCGATCATATTGAAACGAGAAAACAAAAGATGATTGGAAATATTTACAACAAATCAAATAAAAATAAGCAGATTCAATCATTTTCATTAATTTATTGAGATTATTTATGTGAAAGAAATCCAACAAAATATAGAAGATAAATTGAATCATTAAACAAATGATATATCGAAAGATCATTTGCAAAAACGAAAATTAACGTCAAAAAAAAGAAAAGGAATAAACAAGTGGCTAATTGTAAATTTGTCAGATCTATTCGATGACAATACAAAAGAATAAAGTAAATTCTGGCATACTTCACATTTTTTTTCGACAATTCTTGTAATATATTAACGTACAACTTTTATAAGATAAAGAATAATTATTCGCTAGTTAAAATGTTTTTCATAATTCGATAATGAACAATAGTTAATAGTGTCATTAATATTTTCAATAATACAAAAGCCGAAAATAAAAATATTAATATGCCATTGATAAGTGTGTAATAAACATCTGGTACGTTTGAAATAAAAAATTCTCCATGTATACACAAACTTATAATAATAAATAAATTTGATAAAAGAAATAATCGAACCGGCTCTTTAAAAATTAATGTTATCGAAATCGTATTGATAAAACATGTTATAATAAACACATATTGTAATGGAGATAAAGTGTCATCGTAAGATTTTTTAATAGGTTTATTATTTTCCAGTGCATGAGATATTACATAATCAAAATTTAAATTATAAATTGAAGACCAACATTTATGACAAACTATATCATACATATCAAGATTGTGTCCAGCAATTTGCTTTAATTCGTATATTTTTTGTTCCAATGTATTTAATTTTTCTCTTTCTTTTTTTAAATGTTCATTGAAATAATCATGTTTTGAATGAATGTTTTTCATCATGGAAATAAATATGGAAAATATCCAATAATAAATAAAAATTAACATTAAACAAATTATTAATAACAGCCACTTATTTTGACTTAATAAATAATCAAGAGGTTGTGGTCGCTAAAAATAAATCAAAACAGTTTATTAGATATGCTCGTTCTGTTAAAATCAAACAAAAAATTCTTTTTATTCTTTTTTTAAGGGTGTCGATTTAAATTTAACTTATGAAAAACAAATAAGTTAAGTTTATTTTAAATTTAAATTACTGGTAATTTAACTTACTTTAAATTTAACAGGAAAATGATACTACTACTCTTTTTCTATATACTTCTCACTTACCATTTTATCAAACGTTTTTTTGTGTATTTTTTTATCTAAAGTGTTATTTGTGGCATCTGTATAAGATGACATTATGACAAAAACTATGTTATCTAGAAGAATAAGAACAATAATGAATAATGATAAGTAAGAATAAAAGCAATAATGAATAACAACAAGTAAGAATAATATTCTCACTTGCTATTCATTATTGTTCGTATTCAATCAGAAAAATAACGGATAACAACAAGAGTCAAATAAAAAAAAAGAAAAACTTTTTCTAATCAACTTTTTCTCCTTTTTCAGGTTTTAAAGGTAGGTTATAAATCTCTATCATTAACGTATGTATACTTTTTACGAGAATCATAAATGATAAGAGAACAATAGACGAATCAAAGCAGAGAACTTGTCGTTGATTCGTTATGTATATAGATCCAAATATCATACATGCTGTAATACACGTCATAATTGTGATGAAAAATGGTCCGCCAAAAACCGCAAATACTACCAGGATATTGATCACGTTCAATATATTAAATAGGCATCGAATGTATTTTATTTGATTTAAAACCATTGAGTTGTTTTCCTGAGTATTAATTAAATTTTGAATTGCTGTAAATGATGTAAAATTATTCACACAATAATAACAGTTATAATAATCTTTTGCAATAGTACGAATAACTTCTTTAAGCTGTAAATCAATTGAATTATCGAAAGTTGTTCCAGCAAATTTCCCTTGTAAGAAAGGTGCTGCTTCACCCCATACGAAAAGAATTAATGCACCATAAACCATTAACAATACAACGATTAACATGAATAACAACGTTATACTATTATATTTTGTAATATGTTCAGCAGCTGGAGTCTAGAAGCAAAATATAGTAATTTTATATATGAATTTGTTATCAAAAGTTTGCGAGGATAGGGTTTAGAAACGGAATTCACCATTGTCTGTCGATAAAACCATCCAATGAGGATCTGATAATTAATTCAATGTATAGATATTTATTGACTGTATTTGAAAGATGAAGAATAGACCGGAGGATATAGATAATCAAAAATTCTTTTTCTGCGCACAACAACAAGATGATTTATAATCATAAATCAGGATATTAATTATCAGTTAAAAAAAAACAGAACTACAACTTCGTCTTGGAAAATGCATGATATAAGAATGTTCTATTCATTAAAAAGATATCTATATTCAACTAACATCAAAGACAATTTATAAAACATAAAAAAATGAGATTTTTGATAGATTTTTGTTCTAACAAATCAACTAATTATGAAATATTGTATGAATTCGCTTCAATTTCAAGTGCTTAACTTAAAATAGTCAAAGTTCAAGTATAAGATCTTTAACTGAATATCTCACTATTAATGATCGCATATCATTTACACTATATAGACTAATTTCATATGTATAAAAATGCGATAAAAACAATTTTTATTTACTACACTCAATAATCATCTAAAACTGGAAATAAAATTTAAACAGCACTATTTAAAAATAAACGGCATATTATAGTCACAACCGTCGAATGATTAAAAAATCTGTATACTATATTCGAAATCGATTCCTCTATAAACAAAAATTTAAGTTGTCTTACGAAAAAATTTATTTCGTCAAAGAGATCGCTTTTATTTATCAAATCAACTCTTCTACTTTACTTGACGCACATTCAGAGTTAAATAGAAATATATCCGTATCTCTATTCCTTCAGTCTAAGACCAGATGAATCGATTGTCGATGAATTTCATGCGTCACACATGAACCTTGTGTATGAATAGCGACTTTTTTAAAAGTAAACAAGTATTTAAACATGTTACACATTCAATATAACTTTTTTATGATAATTTACTTACATTTGATCTCATAAACCTAGGTATACCATCATTTATAGGAGTATTTGAATAAATTGTTTCCATCAAACAGATTATTTCGACAATGCACCACAGAGAAAAAGAACAACTAAGTATGAACGATAGAGAGAAGAATAACCGAACATAAGAAAAAAAAACAATATGAACATATTTTTCTCTCTTCTCTTGCTATGTTTTGTTAGAAACAACAGAAAGAAAAAATTGTTTTGCATATGTACGAATGCATTGAGAAATGTATATTCTATCTGAGAATAATGCGAAGAAAAAAAACAGAAAGAAGAATAGTCTTGTCATCGTCAATACAAGCGAGATAAATATGCGCCTCAACATATATTGACCTATTGTATCAATAATCGTATCACTCTCTCATTCTCTTCTTTCTCTTTTCTACATTTATCTATAACGAACATTCATCATGTGACGATTCACTCGATCTCAGTTGCAGAAATGAATGTACGGATAAAGTTGCATGAAAAAATATAGATGCTAATGTTTAACAAATGGAGGACACTGATAAAATTAATAATTAATAATATCATAGGTATATCTCGAATGATTATCAAAATTAGTTTTGAGAATTGTCATTAAAGACAACTCATTTATGATTTCGCTTTTTTTACTGTTCAGATTTCATTTTTTTTTATGAAGTGAAAATATTGTTTATAGATTTAAACATCAATAAGAATTTTTAATAATTATTTTAATACTATCTGTACTTAAAAATATATAGCAGATTATTCACCAAATTTTAGTTTTGCTAGTTGTAATCATACCCTTGTATATTTCCTATTTCCTCATAACTATTAGGCCACATTATTATGTATACAGAATTGAATAATCACTCAAATCATTGAATTATTTTATAATAACGATCGTAACTTTTAAAGATTTACTTCTTGGTTAATCTAAATTGTAATACGTGGATGCGCTTTTTAGTCACCTTACATAACCATTTGTACTAAAGTCACCATATTATATTAACTATATCACATACAGATAAACAGACAGACACAAATAAACTCCTCGTTATAGACATATTCTTATTATGTAGGAAAAATTTCGATAACTTACCATATCAAAATATGGTATCTTGAGAGGACGAATTTTTTTTTCTGTTTTATTTGGAGTAGTTGTTGTATTTGCATCGGATGTTGTTATGGCACTTGTATCAGACACCATATTATCTATAACAAAAATACCAAAATCCTTTTCAAGAGTTTCTTGATTAGTCATTCCATTCTTTAGTCATGTTCAACTTTAGATTTTTTTCAATAAAATTTATTGAAGAAATTAGTGAATATAAATGCAATATATGATATATTCACCATTCTTTCGATCAAGATAATTTACATTGAAAAGTGTGTAGGTGTAAGTTATTCAAAAACAAAGGAAGACTAAAAAAATGAATGAATCATTTTTGAAGATGTTAAATTGTTTTAATTGTTGTATATCAATCCTTCAGATTAATTCTAAGTCATTTTTTTTCTGGAAATTTTTTTAGATATAAAAAATGTTTTTCTAATCGTAAATATTTGAAGTAAAAAAATTTAAAAAAAAAAAAAAAAAAAAGAAATTTCTTGAAAATACGTTTGACAAACAAAAGAGGTCGCTTTTGTAATTTGTTTGATCTTTGATTGGATTTCGACCGTTGTCCATCTCAAATAGATTTTTTCAAGATGCTAAAACTAAAAGTAAATCATAAAAAAACCATTTATTAATCATTGATTTATTTCTAAAAAACTTTAGATGATAAATCCTTCGTTGAACAAAAAAAAATGAAAAAAGTCTTACGAGTTGAAGATTCATTGAAAGATTTATCATCAATTAAATAGCGAACTGAACGTAATGGAAAACGTTTATGGCCACATGAGCAATGGTCTGAACGAGATTTAGTTAATTATCCACCATATAAACTTCGCGAAGTACTCAATGCAGTTCGATGGTATTGTGTACCTGAAACATGGTTTAAATTTTGTTATGATAAAACTGATGTTACCGGATCCTATATGTTTTTCTATGGTTTACTTATTTATGGTTTCAATAAAGAACATACTGTTTTGTGGTATGATTTTACTGAATATCTTATTTTGGCTGCAGCTGTTATTACTGTGGTTAAAAAGTAATGAATATTTTAAATTAATTTATTTTTATTATCTTATAAATCTAGACTTGGTCCAACAGTTGGTGATGTTTTTCGAGATTGGCATCAAGAAGAAGTTGATCGATATACTTCAGTTGTTAATAATTCCAAAGCAATAGCTGGTAAAATGTTACACGCTTATGAAGAATCATTAGAGCAAGCTAAAAGTATTGGTAAATTGGGTGAAGCATGAAAAGATATTATTAATATGGCACTTGAAACATCATATCGTGAAAGAATGAAACAAATGTATGAAGCTGTTAAACGACGTTTAGATTATCAAGTTGCACTTCAAAATGCTCGAAAAGATTTTGAAAGAACAAATATGATTCATTGGATTACAAATGAAGTTAAAAAATCTATAAAGATAAATAAGAACAAGATAGTTTACAAGCATGTCTTAATGAACTTAGACAAATGGCTTCAACATCACGATAAAACAATTATTTAGCATCATAGACATTCCTTCGTTAGTTTATTTATCCATCAATCCATTTTCCAGATTATAGAATACAAGTAGAAAGATACTCATTACGCACACCTTCTATCGTTTCTTTTCTTTTCTTTTTTATTTTCCAGACATCTTGTAAAAACAAAGACAAAATAGAAAAGATTTAATATCGTCAATTTTTTATTCTTTTTTTATTAGAACTTATCTTGTTTCTACCTAAACAGAATTAATCAGCATTTATTTTTATCAAAAATTAATTGAATTTATTCTTAGAAATTGTCGATTTAGTCTCAATGAGTCATCCAACAGTAAAAGAAAGGATTTAATAAACTTCAGTGATTCAGATGAATTTTGAGAAGAGATTTCCAACCCATATATTAATTCTAATATAATCAAATGATTATTATTGTTTAAATTGAAATGAAACAAATCAATTTTTAGATAACTATTGATGTTTCAAATCTCTAAAAAGTACAACGAAAATTGTTGAATATGAAATCTGATAAGAAACTTCTTTTCGAATGTAGAAATGAGATGAATCTATATTTTAGATCGACTAATTAATATAAAAATGAAAAAATTAAATATTCGTCAATCTGGTATTGGAACATTAATGAAATATCGTCCATTTATTTCATCAGATTCAAAGTAAATTAAATCGAATATTTGAATTTTCTTTAATTAAATATTTAGATATGTATTTACAATTGGTGATAAATGTATTTATGTATGGATTGTTAAAACAGGTGAATGTTTAAGATTAATTAATAATAATTCAAATTCATCTGATCAACAATCAATTATTTCTATGGCAATTAATCCAACCAATCAACTTCAAGTATTTATCGGACTAATTCAAATATTTTATTTAAATTTTTTCTTTGAAATGTGTAGAAAAGAAATTGGAATAATAAGAATTTTCTCTCATTTTATTTCTAGTTATGTGTTGGTGAACAAAATGGTAATATCAATATTTGGAATTATGCCGCGCGGATTCTTATCCATGTAAGTTTTATTCTAAAGCATCGCAATTTCACAAAGAAATCGTTCTAATTGTTTCACAAGTTACCATTTCATATCATTCTTCTTTCATTTCTAAGAGAAATTCGTAATCTCTCCCACCCTTCCCTCGTATTAAAAGGCTCCGAGGCTTATATTATGGGTCGTCATATCGGGTCCACATTTTGGTCAATTCTTATGAAATGACTCCTCCGAGAGGAGGAGGGAGTTAGTGATTTGTTCGTTGAAATATATTTTAATTTTGTTTAGACAATAAAAGTTGAAATGGAATTAGTTGAATTATATTCGATATCAAATAATGGTTTATATATATTTGTTAAAAATCCTAAAAATGATAAAGAATTTTTTAATAATAATTGATTAAATATGATTGAAATATTTTAGTATATTCTCTTCATCGAATTGAATCAATTTGTCGTAACCAAAAATGTTTACCTATTGTTTTATTTGATAAACTTTCATGTTTACCAACATATATTTCATTTGATCAAAAAGTATTTTTAGTTTTTGATTTAAAATAATTAATAATTTTTCTTTTAAAAGGGTGAATTATGTGTATTTGTGAATAATGGTGGAACAATTATTTATTTATTTATTAAATATAATAAATAATCAAATAAAACATTTAATAATAACAAAACAAAATTTATCATATCATGATAAAATAACATGTGCACAAATTCATTCACATGAAGAATGTCTTGTATTAGGAACACAATCTGGTCGAATTGCTCTTTGGTTTATTCCCTCGACTGTAGGGAGGATCATATGAAACAAAATGGTTGTGTGTGTGTGTGTGTGTCTGTGTGTCTGCATCGGGGTCAAAAGAACATCAGGGTCAAAAAAAACACCCGTTTGTGCATAAAACTTGACCAAAGGATAATTGAGAGTGGGGAATTCGAACCCGAGGTTAGTTTTAACTAATTATTAACTAATTAATTAATTAATTGTTTATTGATTAATTATTAACTCATGGTATTTTACATAAAACTTGACCAAAAGGTAATCGAGGGTGAGGAGTTCGAATCCGAAGTTAGTTTTAGATAATTATTAACTAATTATAACTAATTATTAATTAGTCATTAATTAATAGTATTTCGTGTAAAACTTGATCAAAGGGTAATTGAGGGTGGGGAGTTCGAATCCGAGGTTAGTTTTAACTAATTATTAACTAATTAATTATTAATTAATCATTAACTAATGGTATTTTACATAAAACTTGGCCAACGGGTAATCGAGGGTGAGAAGTTCGAATCCGAGGTTAGTTTTAGATAATTATTAACTAATTATTAATTAATTATTAATTGGTCATTAATTATTAGTATTTTACATAAAACTTGACCAAAGGGTAATCGAGGGTAGGGATTCCAAATCCGAGGTTAATTTTAATTAATTATTAATTATTTATTAACTACTCGTTAATTATTAGTGTTTTCCATAAAACTTTAGCAAAAGGTAATCGAGGTCGGAGGAATCCAAATCTGAAGGCAGTTTTGGAAATTTTTAATTGAGTTCTTTCGAGCTGAGGGGAAAATTTTTTTGAGAAAATAAAATTTCCTCGAGTATAGCAAGGATTATATGAAATAAAATAAATTTTTGTCTGTTTTTGTCAGAGTAAAAGATGAAACGTCATAAAAATGTTGGCGAAGTGTTTCTTGCTCCTGCTTTTGATATGACTTTCAATCAATTCGGTTTTTCAGACTGAAAATTCAGTCAATTCGACGTGTGTGATACGTTTCCCTTAATCAGCTGTTTCATAACTGGGTTTCCATGAATGAGACTTGTTTTTATCTGAGTGTCTAACTGGTAATGCCTTGTGTAGAACTACTCTAGTTAGTCAGACATTTTGGATCTTGAATTGGAGACAATATGAGTTCGTTGTTAGTAGTTAAAGAGGTGTAGTTTTCTTGAGAATACTATCAGGCTTTAAGATGTATCCTGATCGAAATTTTCGTCTAATAGTGGGGAAAGAAGGACATGATGATGGGATATTCAACTTTTTTATTTTATATTTTTGTTAGAATCGTGATAAATATGCTTATAGCTGTTTTGGAAAAGCTTGTAAGCCTAGCAGTTTCCGAGGTAAGACCAATCTGGGATTTTATAGGGTTTAAGTGAAAAGATTTATGTCAGGGTAAAGTAAGATCAAAGGTGGCAGCAGCTAGTTGCGAATGGCGCCCAAAAGGGCGCCGAGGAGCGTCTAGCTACTGTACTGGGTCGTCTGCAGAAGTGCCGATTCAAAGTATTGGAATTCATTGAATAATCATCAATAGTCGAAGTTAAATGGGTCTTATTAAGCAATATCAGATGCAAAAAGCTGAAAAAACTATTTCCAGTCAAGGATGAGAAAGGACTTTTGTCTTTAGACACAACAGCTAAATAATTCATCGGACAAAAAACATCATTCGAAAAATTTATATTTGTTGTATTAGTAGTGGACATGAATGAAATAAACTAGAGTTTCTCTTGGTATATGCTTTTGATTGTATTAATTCAAGTATCTGCATGTATGTTGATATATTCAAATTACCTGTCTAGTAAACAGTATCGTTAGTTCACGCTTTAGTAAGTGAGTGAATTTTTAGTAGAAGTTTTAAAGAGTATGGCACGTTTTCACAAAATTGTCACAAATGTTTTTTGTTTTATTGCCTCTCAGCAAACTGAATAAAATCTCTTTTTGTTCGGTTATATGTGGGTATCCCCGCCAGAGTTTAGTTCTTTAGATTTTGATTGAATATCAGTGTGAGGGTGTCGAATTGATTGGATGTATTCGTGACAAAAATAATCATCCGGATCCACATACCATTGTGCACAACGCGATTGATGCTAATACCAACGTACAAACACCTACTCACTCTTTCAAAGTATTGGCTACTAGCTTTGTCGAAGACTGTAAAGCACTATAAAATATCAAAGGACTGAATATACAGTCGAGGGTCAAGCGAGTCACTCGGACGAGCGTTACTTGTATTTAAATAGAAAATCACAACAATCAAAATATTCTTTAAAAGTTTGATTTAAAAAAAACGATACAGTATTTTTCATAATTATATGTCAAACAATAATATACATATATATATATAACTCATAGAGAACCAATTTTACGTTTCTAGTTTTATGCCATATTTTCAATTTCACCTAAAAAAATTAAATTTAAAAGAAAATCATATCAAATATGTAAACATACGAGCAAGAGGCTTAAAGCCAAGTGTTCGAATTATTCTAGCTAAACATGGAATATCAGCTCGTGGTTGATTTAAAGCCCAATGTTCTAAACTTCTTAAACATCTTTCATGTTTTGATGGATATTGTTGTTCAATATGTTGAATAACTTCATTACTTAACATTAATTCTCTTGCTAATTGTTTCCATATTCGAATACATTCATCACGTTGACAAATACGCATAAATGGTGCTCGAAATAATTTTAATTGTTCTAAAGAAAACAAAACAAAACAAAAAAATAGACATAAATTTCATGATTATTCTATTTCATTTTATTTTACCATCTTTTGAAGATGTTCCTTGTTCAAAACGTTTATCATCTTTAATTGATTGTAAATCTTGAGCTAAATCCCATCGATTTATATTGATTAAACCATGAATTAATAATAAAACTTTATCTGATGAACGTGGTACACGTTTAAACCATGTAAGTAACATATAATATGGTGCATCTTCATGATAATCATGTTCAATAGCTTCAATACGTATACGTGTCATTCCTAAACGACGTGCTAATCGACGCCATTCATCACCAACTAAACTTGTTGACATATCACGAAAGAGTGTTGGAGTTAAGATTCCTGAAATAAAAAGATTAATAATTAA